GTCATAGGGTAGGTCTGATCAAATTTATTTTAAATTCCACGTAAAGTCTTATTGTGCCTTTGAAGTGACCTTTTCAGATGTAATTATCATACTACACATGTTTATCTCCAGTGAGTTCAGTTTCTTTCTTCGGTATATATTATGCTGCTACTTAATTCAGTGACATTCTCAGAGGCCAGTCTGATCAGAGGTGGAATATTTCTACTGCTAGCTTCCTATGCCTTCTGACCTCAGCTGATGATTTTTCTTTTGGCTGAAGAAAAGCCAAGGCTTAGGTGTTCTAGGTGTTTCCCCATGTTAGCCAAGTCATCTCTGAAAGATCAGGTTGGTAGGCAGGAGGGAGCAGGTTTGGAACTCTGCTGAATCCGTGACTGTTTGTCTAGGAATGCAGACGTGGAGATGACTCTGGAGCGAGCAGTGAGCATGCTGGATGCAGACCACACACCAGCACCCAGAATTTCTGCGGCAGCTACTTTCATACAGCACGAGTGCTTCCAGAAATCTGAAGCACGGAAAAGGGTGAGTATCATCTTAAGTCCACTGTAAAATTACCACGCTTTGACATCTATTATGGTGGCCCTGCACACTGAAACCAGTAATTTAAGTTAAAAACAAATCTTTATTGAGTTATATGTCAACTATAGGTCAATTTTAAATAACAAGTTAATAAAATAAATAAGTCTTCATCGAGCCTTTTTAATTAAAAGGGAATATATACTCATTACCAAAAAAAATTTACTGCGATTCAGAAACTTAGAATGTAAGTCTCCACACAAACCTTCCCCTCTTTGCCTGTCTCTCCAATCTCCCGCTTTGGGACCAAAGCCAACAATTGTTCACAGTCTGTGTACTTTTAGAGTTTTCTGATGGGAGGAGGGGGTTAGAGAGCTACCAAGAGCGCACATGAGCATTTTAGACTATTGTTTTCTATATTTAAATATATATTAAATATAAACACTGTTTTGCAGTTTTCTCATTAAGCAGTTATGAAAATGGTTCCATAGACAGCTCTGTACATATATCTTTTGGCATTCCCATAAGTGTTGTACAGGGCAGACCACCTCCCAAATGGAATCACTAGGTCATTTTATGTTTGTTTAAAAAGTGGTATATTTTTTCAGGAAAAAATCATAGTTGAAAAAGGTTTGCAGTGAACCTAAGTTTCCCTCCTACTCCAAACTTACCCCCCATCTTCCTTTTTCTTTTTCTCTCTCCTATCCTCTCTCCTCCTCCCTCCCTTCTCTTTCCCTGTCTCTCTCTCCCACATCATTTTTGGGTGTCTTTCCAGAGATATTCTATATGTGTAGAAACAATTACTGGGTGGGTTGGTTCAGTATCCTTTTTCATTTAAAACAAAATTACAAATAGTAGCAGGTTATGTATAGTAGTCTGCACTTTGTTTTCATTTAAGGCTATATCTTAGAAATGTTTGATATATATTAGCCCTATTTCATTCTTTAAAGTTGCTACATGGATTTCTTTTCTATAAATGTACCAGTTTTGTTTGTTCATTTTTTAACAGCTTTATTAAGATCCAATTAAATTTTACCATGTTTAGCCATCATGAAGCCACCACAATCACGATAATGAACATATCCATTATCTCCAAAGTCTCTTTGTGCCCCTTTATAATCCATACATCTGACCCCTCCCTAACCCACTTCCACTCCCCAGGTAACCAATGATCTGCTTTCTGTTACTATAGAATATATTAAAGTTTCTAGAGTTTTATATAAACTATGTAGTATATATGCTTTTTTCTTTGGATTCTTTTACTGAGCTTTAATCTTTTGAGATTTATCCATGTTGTGTATATCAAAAGATGTGTGCATGTGTGTGTTTGTGTGTGTATAGCTGAACAGTATTTCATTGTATGGATACACCTTAGTTTGTTGATTCACTCACCTGTTGATGGATATTTGAGTTTGAGCTATTACAAATAAAGCTGCTGCGAACATATATGCACAAATCTGTTTTCATTTCTATTGGGTAGATACCTAGGAGTTGAATGTCTGGTAGGTATATGTTTGACTTTTTAAGAAACTGCCAAACTATTTATTTTTACTTATTATTTAGAGAGAGAGAGAGAATCCCAAACAGGCTCTGCACCATCAGAGCCACACAGACACCCATTTTTCCTTTTAAAAAAATTATTTAAATTCTAGTTAAATGCAGTGTCACATTAGTTTCAGGTGCACAAAACAGTGATTCAACACTTCCATACAACACCCGGTACTCATCACAACAGGATACTTTTTAATCCCCATCATCTATTTAACCCATCCACTCACCCACCTCCTCTCTGGTAACCATCAGTTTGTTCTCTATAGCTTAGAGTCTGTTTCTTGGTTTGCCTCTCTCTCTTTTTCCCTCTATGCACATTTGTTTTGTTACTCAAATTCCACATGTGAGTGAAATCATATGGTATTTGTCTTTCTCTGACTTATTTCACGTAGCACTATACTCTCTATCTCTGTCCACATCACCATAAATGGCAAGATTTCATTATTTTTTTATGGCTGAGTAATATTCCAGTGCTTTATCCATTCATCAGTCAATGACATTTGGGCTGGTTCCATAATTTGGCTATTGTTGATAATGCTATTTTGAACACAGGGGTGCATGTATCTCTTTGAATTAGTATTTTTGTATTTGTTGTGTCAATACCTAGTAATGCAATAGCTGAATCGTACAGTAGTTCTATTTTTAACTTTTTGAGGAACTTCCACTCTGTTTTCCAGAGTGACTGCACTAGTTTGCATTCCCACCAACAGTGCAATAGGGTTTCCCTTTCTCTTCATCCTTGCCAACACCTGTTGTTTCTTGTCTTAGCAATTCTGACAGATATGAGGTGATACCTCATAGTTCTTTTGCCCATTTTTATTTGGGTTTTTGTTCTCTTGTCATTGAATTTTGTCAGTTCTTTCTATATTCTGGATATGTCTTTTTTTTTTTTTTCAAATATGTGATTTGGAAATACTTTCTCCCAGTTGTATTTTGTCTTTCCATTATTGTTATAGTTTTTGATTTTGATGGAGTCTAATTATAAATCTTTTCCTTTATGGACTGTGCTTTTCATGATACATCCAAGAAATTTTTCTGTACTCTGATGTCACAAAGATAATCTATATTTTCTTCTAGAAGTTTTATAACTGTCAGATTTTATAGCGTATGATCCATTTGGGTTTAATTTTCTACATTATATTGCAAATGTAGACTGACGTTCCTTTAAAAAAAAAAAAAACACATATGCAGGGGCACCTGGGTGGCTCAGTCAATTAAGCGTCCGACTGTTGGTTTCATCTCAGGTCATGATCTCACAGTTAATGGGTTTGAGTCCCCTGTTGGGCTCCACGCTCACAGCTCTCTCTCTCCCTTTCTCAAAATAAATAAATATACATTTAAAAAGTATATATGCAATTGTTTAGGCACCATTTGCTGGAAAGATTATTATTTTGGTATTACTTCGTTTTTGTGCCTTTGTTGAAAAGTAATTGATCACATCTATATGAGTCTATTTCTGTATCATGTATTGTATTTCACTGATGTATTATTGGTCTATCTCCTTGCTAATACGACACTGTCTCGATTACTATAGTTTTATATATTAATATAGTTTTATATTGAAGTTTGCTAGTGTTAGTCCTCTGACTTTATTCTTTTTCAAGTGATTTTGGCTATTCTAGGTCTTTTACAGTCCCATTTGAATTTTAGAATCAGCTTGTCAATTTATTTGTGACAAAACTGCTGGGATTTTGTTTGAGATTGCATTGAATCTATAATGTATGGAGAATTTTCATCTAAGCAATATTAAGTCTTCTGACCCCTGACCATGGTACATTTCACTATTTATTTAGGTCTTCTTTAATTTCTCTCAGCAGTGTATTGTAGTTTTTACTCCAGAGATCTTTCATGGTTTTTGTTATATTTATCCCTAAAGATATAATATTTCTAAATGTTTTTACACATGGTCTGGGTTTTTTTTTTTCACTTCAATTTTTGATTGTTCAATGCTAGTATATAGAAATATAATTGATTTTTTGTATATTGATCTTGTATCCTGTGACACTACTAAATTCACTCTAAGCTCTAGTAGCATATTTGTAGATTTGTCAGATTTTCTACATAGATCATGCCATCTGCTAATAAAAACTGTTTTGTTTCTTCCTTTGCAATCTTAATGACTTAGGTTTCTTTTTCCTTTTTTTCTTTGGTACTGGCTAGAACCTCTAGCACAGTGTTAAAAGGAAGTGAAAGTGGACCTGTCCTGTTCTTGATCACAGGCAGAAGCATTTGGTTGTTCTTGCACTATTAAGTATGATGCTACCTGTAAGTTTTTGTTTGTTTTTAGGAATTTAATCTGGGAGATTTTTACGTGGGTTTTTTTTTTTTTTTTTGGAAGAAAGGAAAAAATTTTATATTTTAGTATTTTTAACACCATTTCCTTTTCCTGCTTTTTGTTTTATTTTTTAAATTGAGTTATAATTGACATATAACAGTATATTCAGGTGTACAACATGACCCGATATATGCATATCAATGATTACCAATCTAGTTACCATCCATGCTCGGTTATGAATTTTTTTCTTGTGATGAGAACTTTTAAGATCTACTCTTAGCACTTTCAAATGTACAATACACTCTTAATAACTAGTCATCATGGTGTACATTACATCTTCTTGACTTACTTATTTTATAACTAGAAGTATGTCCCTTTTGACCACCTTCACCCATTTCACCCATGCCAAACCTCCCACCTCTGGCAACCACCAGTCTGTTCTCTGTATCTTTGATTTTGTTTTTTCTTGGTTTGTTTGTTTGTTTGTTTGTTTTTAGATTCCACATATAAGTGAGATCATATAGTATTTGTTCATTGTCTATTTTACTCAGCATAATGCCCTCAAGGTTCATCCATGTCGTTGCAAATAGCAGTTTTTCCTTCTTACTTATGGCTGAATATAGTCCATTGTGTATATATATCACATTTTCCTTATCCACTCATCCATCAGTGGACACTTAGATTGTTTCCATGCGATAGCTTTTGTAAATAATACTGCAGTAAACATGGAAATTCATATATCTTTTTGAGTTAGTGTTTTCATTTCTTTCTGATAAATACTCAGAAGTAGAATTACTGGACCATAAGGTAGTTCTAGTCTTAATTTTTTGAGGAACCTCCATACTATTTTCAGAGTGTTTGTACCAAGTTATATGCTCTCCAACAGCGCACAGGGGTTCCCTTTTGGCCACATCCTTGCCAACACTTGTTATTTCTTGTCTTTTTGGTAATAGCCATTCTGACAGGTGTGATGTGATATCTTGTTGTGGTTTTGATTTGCATTTCCCTGATGATTAAGAAGGCTGAGCACCTTTTCTGTATGTTGGCCCTCTGTATGTCTTCCTTGGAAAAATCTATTCAGGTCCTTTGCCCATCTTTTAATCGAATTGTTGTTTTGCTATTGAGTCATGTGAGTTCTTTATGTTTTGATTATTAACCCCTTATCAGATTTATGATTTGC